GCCCCCACGTTTTATTATGTGCTGCAGCACAAGAGGTGGTATAGTAGAGTGGTAACATGTGGAATCGATGAGCCACACAATGTAGGTTCTAAACCGGACACTGCTCCCTACCAGCTGTGTGACTTTGGACAGATTACTTGGTCTCTTTATGCCTCAGTAGTGTATGAGGTTAAACTGAGTGCACATTAGAACAGTACCTGGGAGGTAGTAAGCGCTATACAAAGGTTAGATAAGTGTTAGATATTACTGCCATCTCCTCTGAGAAGCCCACCCACAGACTTGAGTCCAGGTAAGGTTCCCGCTCTCCATGCTCCCTCCTATTTTATCTTACACATACCTTCATTTTAGCATTTACTGTGTCACCTTATAATTGTTACTTTAGGAGTTGTCTCCTGAAATTTTCAGCTCCTTAAAGGCGGAGATATTTTCTCCCCATGATTGCATCCCCATTATCCATCATAGTGCCTATATGAGTGAATGATTTCAAAATGATACATATTGGTGAGTGTCGAAAACAAAATCAACTGCTTTTAACTCATCTTATTTGGCTTTTTCTCCCACCATAAACATGCTTCTTTAGTAAAATACTAATATTAAATGAGTTTCACATTAATTACTGTATGCCAATTTTAACAGGAAATATTTTGGGGAGAAATACCATAAACCATATCAGAGACCTGTTTCACTACAAACTACTTTACTTATTATTGTTATTTAATGGTCTTCATATCTAAGGTTAACATTTATAAAGTTGAATGGCAGCCCCACTCCAAAACCTTCCATTGCTTCTTTACTGTGTCAACCCTTCTAAACACTGGTTTTGTCTGTGTGTGTGTGTGTGATCATCATCCTGTTAACAATCTAAGCTATGCTTCCATGTCACTGAAACAATGCCTTGCATATAATTCTAAGAGGTTCCCAGGCCTTAGGTTTCTATTGATCATCTGATTAAGGCCCTATTCCTTGATCTGTCTTTCAGAAGCAGACCCTATAGATCTCCATCTCACTAAGGAGACCTGTAGTCTCTGGAAGTTTCTATTTCCCTTTGCAAGAAGAATAGGTCTAGTTCAGCTTCTACCTCATAACCTTCTTATCACTCTTTTTTTGTGTGATAAAATTAAACGTCTTAAAACACACAGATAACTCTCTTAGCCTACTACAACAGAGGCTTTGGGTAAGGTTATGGGGATATACTGAGTAATGACTAATGGCCGCCCATTCCAGGGACTTAGACATAGCTTCTACCTCATAACCTTCTTATCACTCTTTTTTTGTGTGATAAAATTAAACGTCTTAAAACACACAGATAACTCTCTTAGCCTACTACAACAGAGGCTTTGGGTAAGGTTATGGGGATATACTGAGTAATGACTAATGGCCGCCCATTCCAGGGACTTAGTATAAAGTGTAACTGCTTCCATAGTGGTATATGACAACCAAAAGGCTTTGTTAGAAGAGACTGAATTGCTAGTATACTATATATACTGTATGTATATGTTATATATATATATATTAAGAATATAATTAAGAATATACTATATATGCACTTTCTATACCTTCTCTCTCTGATTACTCTAGGCCAAGATAGTTGTTACACTAAATTTTGCACCCATTGACAGGATTGGTAATCATGATCTAAAGAGAGGTAGATCTATGGACAGAGAAAACCACCAGGTTGGGAATAAATACAACTAACCCACTGAAAACCCCCACTTGACAAGGGAGGTTTGCTTTTCCATTTGGAGGGACACACACAGCAAGTATCCCCTTGTTTCACATACCAAGGGAAACCTAAGTGGCTAAAAATGGTAAAGATAGTCACCCTGAAGCTATTCTTCTGGGTCCGTGAGAAAAACTGAAAGGAAACTACTTCTATTACTACCCTTTTATGATTCCCAGGCCAACACTGGCTCCACTGGATGTTACCTAAACTTACTGCTAAATGATAACAAAATTCTCCCACACTCCATTCCACCGTCTCTGGCAAAAGCTCTCTGTATTACGTTAGCAAGAGATCTGACATCTTGTCCATTTGCCAAGGGTATAATACTCTTGTCCTTCTCTTATATTCTACCTTTCTTGTTTTGTTTGTTTGTTTTTTTGACTGAGAACATGAGAGAGAATATCTGACTCCTGATGTGGCCTCTGTTAGTTGAAGATGCTAATCAAAGAATGGCTAACATTTGAATTAAGCCAAAATTGAGAACTGTACTCAGGGCAAATTTCTGAATATTGTCTCAGTTGATTTTTGTTTTATGCTGGCTTAACTCCCAGTTGTAAATACTTAGATATGCTGACCCTTTCAGGGAACATCTTAATAAAAAGACATCTCTAGTGTAATGAAATGGGTTTTAAATTTTAAGTACTCTATGCTAATGGTACATTAATAAAATTTCTTCCTAATATCCCTTTCTTGCTCTCAAATTTTGCTAGAATTCAGTTAATTATATCTCTTATCATATGTCACTTTCTCTTATCATGACTACAAATTAACTTATAGAAAAAATTTAAACTAAGTTAACAATTCATTTTTACTATAGCCTGAGGTTGTATCTGAGAATTGATACTTCATTTTTTAAAGGAATATGCCATGATAGACAAGTTACATTATCAGCTCTTAACATAACATGTTAAAAATTAATTTTAAAAATTTAGCACTGGAATAAAAATAATGCCTTCATCAAAAATAATGAATTAAGTTAACATACCCGTTGAGTATGCTTCGTAATATATTTTCTACTTGAAGCATAACCTTTCAAGAGATTGAACATTTTTCCTCTTTTATACCCAAAAAAATAAAGAGTAAGATTCTCTTCACATTTTTTATCAGGTAGAAAAATTATAATGCCTATGAATGTATGTTAAAATTAATATGAAAAGAGATAGCCATGGTGATAATAGCAATTTTTTGTACACACTTGGAAAGTTGTGTTCATGAACTTATTATTCTAACAGAGTAGGGAAGGGACAGCAGGGAAGACATGTGCCAGGTGTGATGGCACTTCGTAGAGTAAATTGTATAGTTAATCTCACCTTTTTAGCTGCCTTTCTCACCTAAGAAATAGTTATTCAGCCATAAGGTAAAGTCATATTTCCTTCAAATTTCGAATAGAACTTAGGAACCCCTTGGAGGCAGACATCATTTTTACATTGTTATCCCTCAAAAGGCCTATGATCTACAAAAAGCATCTTTAAGTGGGTTACGCTTTCTAATTCAACAAAGATTTGCTTTGTGCCTACAATACACAAGCCACCATATGACCACTATTTGCGGTGACAAGAGAGAGGTACAGAGTGAGATCTGAAAGCAGAATGGGGATAACTAACAAGGGCTAGTCACCATCAGATCTGATGGCCACCCCTGTCTTATAAGAGTAAATTTACCTCTTTTTAACTATTTTACTTCAGGCAAGAAGAAAGACATTACATTCAATACATAAGAAAAACTCAATGCCAAGAGAAGTTGTGGATAAGAAACTAATCGAAGAAAATATCAGGAGTCGTCATCCTATTTTGATATAAATGGTCATTACTGGGCTCTGTTGTTCTGTTATGGTTTGTTACACAGGAACTTTTTCTTAACTGAAAAAAAGTGAATAAAAAATACATGCAAATTAAACAACTTAATTTTTCTTTTTCGAGTATATAAATGTATCTTAGACTTCATATGTATATTACAAAAAACATAAAACTTGGTTCAATAAAACACAAATATTTTAAAATTTACTTAGATTGCATTTTGGATCTAGTGTTGTTTGTGGCTGGGTTGTGATGAAGAAGAAAGGACAAGAGCAGATGGAGAAGGAGACAGAGAAAGACAGGAAGAGCCTCAGGAGAGCCGGTCTCTTCAAATAGAGGCTGGTGCATTACAGCTCATGGGACGCATCTGGCCCATGGCCTACTTTGATATGGTCTATGAACTGAATATGGCTTTTTTCTTTGTAAATACAAAAACAAAATACAAAAGAAGGAGACTCTTTCATAATACATGACAATTATATGAAAGTCAAGTTTCAGTGTCCACAAAGTTTCATTGGAACACAGCCACGTGGATAGTTAGATTGTCTATGGCTCCTTGCACTACAATGGCAGAGTTGAGTAGGTGAAACAGAGACCGTATGGCCCACAAAGCCTAAAATATTTATTATTTATCCCTTCACAGAAAGTTTGTCAACTCCTGCCCTAGAAGAATAGGAGGAATGCTGAAGAGAGAAACAGTCTCAGATTAGTAGATACACAAAGGGAGAAACTATGGTTAAAAAGGTGGGCAGGCAAGATGAAGAAACGGAGATAAGAGTTATTAATAGTTAGCATTTACTGAACACATCCTATATGGTAAAAACTTTATATGTTATTTCTAATCTTCATGTAATGAGGAAACTGAAGCTCAGAGAAAGTTACTTAGCACTGAGTGACAAAATGAATGCACTCTGAGAAAATCAGATTTCAACTGAAGAACAAAATCTGGGGGTCAGGAGGTGATTTCTATGAATAGTTTGAATCTGTAAGATCCATCTTGGAATGATATGGACAGCTTTTGTCCATCAGCAAGAGCCAAAGCACACTTCAGCCAGAACTAGGAATCATCTTTTATTTATATCTTTCCTTCAAACACCAGGTTTTACCAATAATAATAACAGAAAATAAGTACACAATGACTACTATGTGCCAAGCACTATGGTATTTTCCATATATTTACACTAATTCTCTAAGCTCTGTGAGGAAAGCACTAATATTAGCATTTACCTCTACGGCACGAAGAGGTTAAATCAATTGCTCAAAGTCACAAAACTCATAAGTGACAGAGCTAGGACTTGAATGAAGGCAGTTTGGCTCCACAGTCCATGCTTTAAACCAATACGCTTTGTTTTTATCAAACTTTAGCATTCTTGAGAATCACCTGGAAAGCTTGTTAACACACAGATTGCTCGGCCCCTTCTTACCCCAAAGTTTCTGACTCAGTGAGTCTGGGGTAGAGCCTGAGAGTTTACATTTCTAACTTGTTCCAGGGGATACTGATGCTGTTTTGGAAACCACACTCTGAAAGTCATTGTTCTCTTGCCTCCCCATTAATTCTTTGTGTTTCCACCTAGCCATGCCGTTCTCAATTTTTATGGCTTTGCCTCACTATAAACTGTCATCAAAACCCACACTTGGATTTCTGGGGGGAAAAGGTTCTTCTAGGTGGTTTCCTTATATCCTTCTCCCTGTTCAGGTAATCTAAAATGCCACTGGACAAGTCCTATTTCTTAAACACTTCTCTCAAATTACTTTTCTGCTCAAAAGCCTTTAACAACTACCATATATAATTTAAACATCAAAGACTCGTTTTCAAGACTCTTGGTAATCTGTACTTAGGCTAGATACTCACATCCTTCATTCAGTTGTTCATTTATTTGATACCTTAGTTTTTGTTTGCCCAGCACTCCTTTCCCTCTTCTAATAATGAGCTTATCCCTTGGCCAGTCAGAGGCTGTCCCTGTGACTTTCTGAGCTGAGGTACCAGGAAGCTGTTAGGATGTGAGCAAGAAACTGCCAGGGACCATGTACCCCATTGAGTGGAGAAACTGATTTGAGTACAAAGTAATCATTTAGGGAGAAAACAAGACAACAGATTATGAAGTACTGCTAGAAAGCTAAATTCCTGTTGCTCAGGTCTCCAGAAATCCTCTGGTTCCAGTCCTTCCAGAGGTTTAATTGTTTAGCTCTTTCTTTGTATGACCTATCATATTGTGTGAACTGCTGCATGTTTTAATAAATACCTTCTCTTCTTTGTATAAGAAGCAGAGGTGAGGAATGGAAGAACAAAAATGTCACTTGCAAGTTCAGAGTCCTGGCTAATAATGCTTTCATCAATTATTTATAGAATAGCTCCTATGTGTTAGTTGCATTTCTCTTCACTGTCTCCAGCAAGCCACAGTAATTTCTACCACTGATACTGTCTGAACTGCACAGGAAGGCTTTTCCCTTGGCCTATGCAAGATCTACTCATGGCTAAACTCAAGTCCAAATCTTAAAGAAGTTCTTCTACCATGCTCTTTACACTAAAATCTCCTTTCCCTGAATCCCTAATGTATTTAAAGTCTTATACAAATCACTTGGTAATTAATTAAATATGGTCTTATATGTTTTTCCCCCCACTTTGCCTTGTGAATGCTATGGGCTGAATGTGTCCCCCCCAAAGTTCATGTGCTGGAAACTTGATCCCCATTGTAACAGTGTTAAGAGGGTGGGAAATTGGATTATAGTATTTGAAAGGTGGGGCCTTTGAGAGGTGATTGAATCATGAGGTGAGCAATGTGAATGGATTAATCCCCTTGTGAATAGATTAATCCATTAATGGGTTAATGGTTTAATGGGTTATCACGGAATAGTTCTAATGGCTTTGTAAGGAGAGAAAGTGAGCAAGTTAGCTCTCTTGCTTATGCCATACTTGCCATGTGATAACTTGGTCACCACGAGACCCTAGAAAGGTCCCACCCAGAAAAAGGCCCTCACCAGATGTGCCCCCTGGATCATTGACTTCCCAGCCTCCAAAACTGTAAGAAATAAATTTCATTTCTTTAAAAATTACCCAATTTCAGGTATTCTGGTATTAGCAACTGAAAATGGACTAATACAGTGTGTTAGTCTTTTACCTCCTAGAGTTGAAGGCACTTAAAGACACCACATAAAATTGAGTTTTAAATTGATTTCAAACTTCAGAAAAAATTGTTTGCAGGAAAGCTGTTTTAAGGTATTGTGGAACTCTCAGGATTGAGTGATGAGACGGGAGAAGCAAGAAGACCTGAGAAACAAGGTCCAGCTTTTCTTTCTGTCTTGAGCTGTTTAAATACACCATCAATTCTGTATACATCCCTCACTTTGAAACTCTATTTCAAAGCTAACATTTCCCCCTGCATTGCAGGAAAGCATCAGAGAGTGAACACTGTTGTTCATTTCTTTCTCCTTTCTGCTTCTCCAGATCCTGTCCACCCTGCAACCAACACGGTTCCTTCTCATTTTGATCACCCCGGACAGAAGTCAGAAGGGATCCCTACCTGCTGGAGTCACTTTCTTCTCAGAACACTACAACTATGTGTCTGTATAACTCCAGCAGCTTTTCATATATTCATAATTCACTTCACAATCTAGATGGGAAGCAAGGGTCTTATACTTTTTGGAATCCCCATTAATATTTTTTAAATAGCAAGAGCTTAATGAAGAAGTTGATTAGTTGGCTACTACCAATACAGATTATTATACCTCCAGATACTGATTTAAGAAAATGGGTCAGTTAAAACTCCTGTCATGTGTTATGTAGTGGATTGGGTGCTGGAGAAAATGAATAATACCTGCCCTTGTGCTTAGAGTCCATTTGGAGAAACAGGCCCCTAATTAGTTATTTTAATAGAATATGCAAAGAGCTTTGAGAAAGGCATATGGAGATGCTATGGAAGCAAGGATTAGGGACTCTAGTTCAGAGAAAGATTCTTAGAAGAAATGACACATGAGCTGTCATAAAGGATCAATGGGAATGAAGCAAAGAAGGTGAGGAAGAGGGTAGGATGTGGTACACACGTCATGAGCAGGGCTTTCTGTCAGTTCAGTGCTCCTGGACAGTGACAACTATGAGGTGGGGAGAGGCATGAGATAAGGCTAAAGAAGGAAGGTACTGGGTCAAGGAAGGCTTGCTTTCCAATAGGGAGTAGCTGGGCTTTGTGATGATAGCCAAGAGGAGCCACTGAAGAGTTCTAAACAGGGGACTAAAGTGTGCTTGGCAGATGTCTTAGAGGAAAACAAGAATAAGGGTAGGGAATCCAATTAAAATACAAAACAAAACTATTTTAACAGTCCAAATGAGAGATGATAAAGACCTAGACTAGGCCTTGCTGGTAGGAATGGAGAGGAGGAGAGAGACTTGGAAATATTTAGGTAGTAAGGCAAAATTATGAATCTTGGTGATTTTTTGATGGTAGGGAGGAGGCAGAAGGGGAGAATGACTCACAGTTTCTGCTTGAGTGATTATTAGTGGCATTAACTTAGATTGGGAAAGAGGAGCAGGAATCTAGTGATCCAGTTCTGGTTTATCCATGTTGTGCTTGGAGTGCCTGCAGAACATTCAAGGGACCAAACAAGCTGGTATTTAGCTCTAGAAGTATGAAGCTCCAGGGCAAGATCAGTGCTGGAGATAGATCTGGCAATCATTCACACATAGTGAGGGTTGGACTCGTGAGGATGAACAAAGGAGATCTCTGGATACGTTTATTATTTTAATTTAGACTTATTTCATTACTATTGTTTATTTCTAAATTGAAAATAATATGACACTTCCAGAGAATATTATATGGAGCATTTTAAAGATCAAGTAATCACTGTACAATTGATTTAAAAATAACAAATAATACAGCCCCTTGTAATATATTGGTGTTTGGGAACACCTCACTAAGATATGACAGCAAGTCACCTTGTCAATACTATATATGTATACATATGTATATATGTATACGTTCTAAATAAAGATAATAACAAAGAACCTGGTTTGTGCCAGATACTATGTATAATATCCATATTAATACTTAGACACTTTGAGGAAGATTTTATTATTATCATCTCCATCTTTAAGATTAAATGATGGACACATAAAAGAAAAGCAACCTATCCAAGGTTACAAAGCTGCCAAGTGGCAAAGCTAGAATGCAAAGCCAAGTCTGTCTGGCTCTTAAACTCCTAACAGATATAAGACATTGAGCATTAAGCATCCCTCCCTCACTCCCGCTCCTTTGCCCAGGCCTCTTTTTGCAGCAACGAGAAGAGAGTGGACAAGACAGCAATAACCTTGATAAACCAGAAGGAGGCAGGCGAGCACAGGGATTTCAACACTTATTTTTAAAAATCATAATTAATAAATTGATGCCTAAATGAATATATGCATCAATCTAGACATTCGGGCTTCTGAATATCTGTAGTTAAAACCCCGTAGGTACATTTGTTTTGGAAGGCAATTTAAACATAAATATCAAAATTTAAATTAGCTTATTTTCTGGCCCAGGAATATTACTTCTAGGAATAAAACTTTCAAAGAAACATGAGTATACAAAGAAAAGAAACTGGGAAAATCCTGACGTCTATAAATGGGAGTAGGCTAATTAAATGATTAAATAATGATATAATCATACAATATATAGTTGCAGCCTTTAAAAAGAATAATGCAGATCATTCTGTATGTAGTGATACAAAAGAGGTCCATAATATAGGTAAGTTTTAAAAAAATTGCAGAGAAATTTATCAAATGTATATATATAGTAGGTGCATAACTGTCAAAGGGCACACATTAAATGTTAACTAACAGTGATTACTTTGGGGTGGGATTAAGGGTGGGGAAGGTGAAAGAGACCTCACACTTTTTACTTTATACATACATACATACACACACATATAAATGTGCATGCATTTATATAACAGTGGACATGTATTGCTATTGAAAAGAAAAAAATTAATATTTTTTCAAATCCAGTGAGGCAACAATCTAATAAGATCGATTTAAATGAGGCCATATGCAAATTAATTATGCTACATCCGAATTATGGAATATCATGGTCCTCTTGAAAAGAATGTCAGACCTGACTGCACCTACACAGGAGGAGGTCATGAAATATTAAGTGAAAAATCAGATTGCAGAACAATATGTTTACTTTGATCTTGTTTTAAAAAATCACAAATGTGCATATTAATTCTTATATGGGCATAAGAAAAACTCTACAATATTTAACCAAGTGTGAATTAGAGTGGTGAACCTGAAGATTAGGACTGGAGGGAAGGGAATGTGAGGGCTTTGACTTTTTCCTGTATGTATATTTAATGCTTTAATTTTTATAATGAAAATGTATTACTCTGATACTTTCTTTAAAGTAATAAAAATATTCCTAACAAAACGTAGTTTTAGCAGATCACTTTAATTTCATTTTATTTTAGATCTTAAATATCTGATACCATGAAATCTACAAATGTGCCCTAGAAGAAATTTCAAATTCATAGTTTATAAAATATATAATTTAGCATAATTTTACATATTTAAGGGTGCACTAACGGCTGTACAAGGTAAAAATACTTTAATA